CTCTCTCTCTCTCTCTCTCTCTCTCTCTCTCTCTCTCTCTCTCTCTCTCTCTCTCTCTCTCTCTCTCTCTCTCTCTCTCTCTCTCTCATATATATATACCGATGCCTTATACAGTCCATAGACATGTATAATCTGCTATCTTTAGCCGTTAAATAGATGGCTGTTTCTGTGTCTGAAACCACTGAAGACCTACCCTCTTCTTTCTCTACCAATTTACAGCAACAGATATTTTAGGGCTGCAGCTTATCAAATCATTATCAAAAAAAAAAAATCGACTAATTATTATCTCTTTTAATCAATACGTTTTTCTTTGCAAAATGTCAAAGGGCAACTAGAATTACCGCCTCGCATTTGTATGCCTCCGCCATCCAGTCATGTTGAAGTTTTATGTGAAATTGTCATATTTAGCATATACATTCCTGAGTTGTGTGAGGTCACAGTGACCTTTGACCACTAAATTCTTATCAGTATAACCTTGAGTGAAAGTGGATGTTAGGCCAAGTTTGAAGAAATTCCCTTCAGGCATTCCTGAGATAACACATTCACGAGATTGGACGGAGGGACGGATGGACCTGAGAACAGGCCGTTGCCGGCGTGGAGGCACCAAAACACCCATCACAATTCATCAGAGGAGGAGGTGATTTCATCGAAAATGTTTTCTCACAAAGACAAAAGAAATCTCACATTTGGAGACTAGAACCAGGACATTTTGGTGGCATATTTGCATGAAAATCAAATGTCTATTAAAGTATATGCAGGTGACCTTTCTGATCAATAGACAGCTTTAACATATTTACATACATATAACAACTGTTCTTCTCTGATGAAGGGATGGGGCCTGGTTATTCAATCCCCAGGAGCAATCTCGTTTGTATATAGAAAATCACCAGAAACGTTGAAGTGTATACCAGCAAATGCTTTGGCTGAAAATCTCTGTAAAAAAGAAATCAAATGCACCAACATTGTTAAAGGATCAGTTCACCCGAGTTACGAGAAACATTTTCTCACTTAGTGGTATCACCATGCAGACAGTTTGGGTCTTAGGCTTTGAGACACCCACTAGAATGTAGTTAAACAGACTTTAAATTGTAGCGCTCGCAGAATTGGCAATGAGTGTCTCCATTACTCTGGATAATCTGCAGACTTCACCGTCGAAAAAGCTTTCATTTGGTCTATTTCTCTGGTATAAAGTAGTTCCATATGGCAAGAGATGTGAATATCTCAAAACATTAAAAACAACATATATCTCAAAACCTGGGCGAATAACACCAAAAACCATCTGCATGGCTACATACCACTGGTAAGTGAGAAAATATGTTTTGGATGAATCGCCCTTCTGAGCTCAACAGTGTTCCTGTTCCAACATTCCCTTTCAGTTTTTTAACCAAATAGACAGCTTGTATGCAATATGCAACTCATAATCTCTCTTTTGCTCATCTGTCAGTCTGTTTTCTTCTTACCTGTACTACTGAGAACACATCTTTGCATCTGTAGCTCTCTCTCCACTTCCCTCTGTCCATGACTGGGCTTTATACCGTGGGGATATATCGAAACAGGAATGGCACAAAGGGGGGGGGGCGGGGGTTGGGTGTTCCTCCACAGTTTCTTAGTACAGTAACCCCCAACCATCTCCACCACACACACACGCACGCACACACACACACACTGCTTGCCATTTTCCCAAGACAAAAGAAAAAGAGGCAGCTAATATATTTGTGAGGGGGTGGGGTGGGGGGGTGAGTAGGAATCTGCTGCTAGGCTGGGCTTGGCAGACAGCGGCGTGTGTGTGTGTGTGTACTGTTTATCGTGAGTGGAGACAGGGGTATCACTCAGTGAGACAGAATATCTGGGTTCCCCCAGCGGACGCTCGTGCTATCACTGCACCACAACAGCACTGTGCAGCTTTGCAGCGTGCCCCTGCAGGATAGCACGGTGCAGCAGGGAAGAGCAACACAAACTTTGCAGCACAGGGCGACAATCTTGTTTTTCTACTCTCAAAAAATAGGCCTGAACTTCCCTTTAATTCCCGCTCTACCCTAATTATTTTCAAAGTAATCGTGGTGAGCTATATATGGTTGAGGCATATAGTGGGTACTGGGGGGGCTCATACTCTGTGTGGCTCTTTGCATGCACCTCCCCTTCTTGACCGCTCACTAAAAAAAGGGGGAAAACCAGCTTTTAAAAGCACATCAAGTGGATGGAATGATGTTAACCAGTTCATTATCAACGGATTAAATGCTAAACTCAGCCACAGCCATGGTGTTTCATTTTGGGTGTGAACTTCATGAGCAACGCTCATTTTTTCCCCCCATATGCTTGCAAATACAGAGGAGAGAGGCAGAGGAGTGTGGTTGAGATGCGGCTGCGAGGAGGGAAGGAATGATGATGGAGTAAAAGGGAATCGAATAAAATGCTGAAAATAATAAAACTATGAGGCAGCAAAAAATGCAAAGGAGCGAGGCAGACAGAGAGACTGACAAGAGTGAAGGTCTTAAAGGAGTGATGGAGGAGGTATTCCGGACACAACAGCAGGAGGGAGGGGGAAAAAATGGAGGGAGGGAGGGAGGGAGAGACGAGCAGCCCAGTTCATGCCCCTCTCCCCATGCAGCGAGGACTCCTCCCTGGGGGGACTCAGACTTTAAGCCCCTGCCCTGCTTTATATTCCCTGGCTACTGCAGCCAGATCAATCTAGCTAGCTACCCAGTGTAACTCAACCTAGTTCAGGGCAGCCGGGCCCCCAGGGCCCTCCGCACAGGGTGTAGTTTTAAGAGGAATAGAGGCCGGCAAATTTGTAAACGTACCACTGGTAAACCTATATTAGAAGCAGACTTTAAAAGGGACTATATCAGTGTTCTTGCATGTGTTAGCCCATTACTACAATTCACATATACTTCACATTACCGTCAGCTGTTTTCAAAGCTGTACGGCTTTAGATTTCTGAGTGTGTGTTTTTACTGTATAATCCATCACAGTGAACAGTGTGCCCGCTTTTATTTTTTGTCAAAGTTAATTTATTATTTCCTGGTAATGCAACTGCACGACTGATTTGAAAAGTCTGCGCTGCATTACCACACAAATATAACATAACTCAAAATAATGCAGGCAAGATGTTCACTGATGGATTACCGAACTTAAGATGAGTTTTCGTACCACATGGAAAT